AACGATGATTACACGTATGATAGCGATGATTACAGTCTGCGCATTGATAACAATGATGATTACACAAATGAGAGTGATTACAGTTTGTGTATTGATTATAACGATGATTACACGTATAATTCTGATGATTGCAGTCTGCGCATTGATAATAACGATGAATACACGTATGATGGTTAAACGTATGATAGTGATGAGTACAGTTGATGAYTATAATCATGATTGACTAGAAATTTGTATCACTTATAAAATATATTTGATATGTTTAATAACATCGTTACATTAACGCTAGCACGCAGAACTCGAAGTTGTTTTCAATAATAGTTAAGGCTTATGTGAACTTTAACTCAATATTATTTTCTCATAAGAGACAAAACGTCATGAAGATCAATGATTACAAGCAACATTTCTTTAAAATGCGGTACCKTATATGTTGCTTAACTTAACCTTTTTTATATAGAAAAAAGTCTAATATATCTAACAGATTTAAAGGGAGTACAACGACGTGCTACTTAAAACATTTGATGCATAAATCGAACTATTACATTTTGAGGAGTGTCTTATAAAGTTGCGTAGTTACTGTCGTTGTAAATCAAGCTAATGCTTCCCAGAGATCTTGTACATTTTGGCTATTTGGCGTACTTTGTCGTTCAACCGCTGCTTTTGTTTAAACATCTGCTCTTCAGATTCGTCGTTTGAAATTAAACCAAGTTCCAATGRTTTTGGATCTTCCTTTACTCGCTTCCAAACAATTTCTCGTTTAACTGTATTGTTCTCAATAAGATCTTTTGTTAAGGATGCCAAATGCGCTGTTTGTTCTTCCGAAAACTTGCTCCAAGCCGTCTTTGTTGACTTAGTTGATTCGCTAGTCGTTGATGGGGCAGGTTTTATTCCTGACATGAATCGCTTGATTTTATCTTCAGTGGTTTCAACCTCTGTTGGTGGCTTGACGACATCGTTGTCTTGTGATCGCAATCGCTGTAACTTCAGAACTACCGCTCTTAACGAATGACTTTGACAGATATTGGATGCTCCCAATTTACTTTCAACAATGGATTCCGTGATGTTCCCAGTTTCAATTTCAGATTGGAATATATATTTCAGGTTTTCTGTTTCTTGACAAGTCCATTCGACATGAGTTACTGGTACCTAAATATAAATTACATATTAATCCATCAAATACATGAAAAGATTTATAAAAATAAACTATGAATGATTTATTAGTTTTACCTCTGTCTTCGCATTGCTCATTGTGACGAATTTTCTGACAGSTTTGCGTCCGAGATCTGTTTCTTTCACTTTGTCATTCACTCGATAATATTGAGCTTGGGTTTGTGGCTTATGTTGCGCAAGTGCAGCTAACCTCTCTTGATCTTCTGGCATATGAGCGTGAACGCCAGAAGCGAGTGATTTCCTGATCAAAGTCGCAGAGATGCGACCCTTAAACTTAATTCCTTCTCTCTGGAATGTGCGAGTAAGAGAACACGACACCTGGGATGATGTTAGTGACATGCCGTTGTTCGAAATGAAAATGTTGTCTATCTTCAAACCTTCCTTAAGGAATACTGGTCTAACTTTAGTGATATAAATCTCCATCATCGTGTACAGATCTGTGTATAACCACACAATAGCTGCACCGTATGTGCTGGAGGTCTTGTGGTTCTTAACAAGCACGCGGTATCTTTCCCCGTCTTCTTCATCACCATCATGCTTTATGGCCTCCTGAAATTCTTTGACTGTTATGTTTGCAGCAATACCACTTCTTCCGGAGTTATCAATAATCATTCGTGTCATCAAATAGTCTCTAATCTCACAGAAGGTGGTATCATTAATGAGGGTGTTGTATCCAAGTTTCTTAGCTTCATCTGCAACTTTTCCCAGCTCTTTAATAGTGTTGATACGCTGTTGCCCATGGCAAGCCTTATACAGATCTTCGCTTGAGAGCAATTTGGTGAAGTCAATGTCGTGCTTCTCTAGTTTACGCTTTAAAACTTTTTTCCTCTGTGCAGCAKACCATGATGTCAAAAGGTCTCTTCTTGTGTTTAATATGTCGATCCTTTCTTTTGCTTTCCCTTCTTGTACGAGAAATTTTAGGAAAAGTCGGAGGCTCATTAAGTATGATCTTACAGTTCCCGGCTGATATTTCTCAGAGATTTCAGATAACCATTTGCGCAAGATTACTACTCCTTCGTGATCCTCTACAGTGATTAGATCTATTTCACTATTCCAGTTGTTTACGTCACTTGAAATTCTTTTCATGATGCGTATTACCTGAGACTTGTACTGCAGGGCAACTTTGGCACATCGATATCCACCATCGACGTCTTTAAGCCACTGATAAAATTCGTCTATCAGTGGACTGCTGTTTTCGTCGTCGTCCACTTGACTTCCCTCATTTTCGAAAGATGATATTAATTCATCTTCATCACTGTCTTCAAGGGAGGATTCACAATCGATATCTTCAATTTCTTTATTGTCAGAAATTGTTTCTTGTGCAATAGCCTTGGTTTCAGACACGGATGACCTTTGAAAGATGTAACCACTTTTCTTCTTTCGTGCAATAAAGTCATCGACCTCACTCTTCCATTCCGGCTCAGGTTTGATGAAGGATAAGTCATCTACCATTTCTACGAACTCTGTTAAAATGGCCTCATTTTCTTGAGAAGAGCAAGAAGAAGCTGCTGTGGATGTTTCACTGCTACAATCTGAATCCGAACTTGAGGACGGGGCATAATTAGAGTCATCTGTATCACTCTCACTGTCGGAGATAACTGTAACGTTAGATGGTGAGTGCGCTTCCTCTCTTTGCCTTGTAAGAGATTTGACCAGAGTTCTTTCGGCTTTAATGTTGTCACTATGCATCTCTGTTTGGCTTTTTTCAGAGTGTTTGGATTGATCACTTTCACTTCCAGATCGCGATCTGATGATTGCCATTGCTTTCATCTTTTGTTGTTGTGAGTTTTCTTCACTCCTGACCCATACTCTCTCCGTCAACACATCGTATTCCAAATCACTCTCAGCGTCATTACTTGTCTCCCTTATATTTTCATTTACTTCTACATTTTCTTTGTCATCATTATCTATTTCATTATCTTCATTGGGTAGAGGAGGTATGTTTTCTTGCACAGTTGTTTCTGTTACATCTTTTCGCTTCTTGAAATTCGTTGATATTTTCACTTTCAAGGGAGTTTTACTTTCAATACTTGATATTCTAGATGGGCTCTTTTCCCCGTTTTCACTTCCAAGTCTGGGTCTTTTAGCACACGTTTTGATATTTATTTTTTCAGTAGCACTTCTTTTTCCACCAACCTCAGTACTGGACTTCTTTTTTGTTTCTCTTCCACTTTTTTTATCCATCAAGCCACGCATCTCATCGAGGCCAATTCGAGGTGCGTTCTTAAGAGCCTCCAAGTATTCTCTTGAATTAGAATTAAGCTTATGGATGTTGGATTGCAAGTGATGGTGAAGCTGAAACACACCTCTTTTTGAATGCTTACATGGCGACAACGGACAGAACTTAACTCTTCTATTTGGTGGTTTCTTGCCTCCTTTGATGTACCTGTCCATCTGACGGTATATTTTCTTTATCTTGTGAACATYCTTGAGGTGACGACTAAGATTTTGCACAGACTTTCCACAATGTCCACATTCTTTGGACTCCCGAGTCTTTTTCGCTGAACTTTCCTCCATAACTSCAACRGAAAAAAAGCACAGATAAATGATATTCCAGACAACAAATTCACAGCAATATCACCACTCATAACTCCAACTATACATTTGTTATCGTATCATTTGCTATCATAAGAGTAATCATCGTTATAATCAGTGCGCAGACTGTAATCGTCACTATTATACGTGTAATCATGGTTATTATCAATGCACAGACTGCAATCATCAGTATCATACGTGTAATCATCGTTACAATAAGTGCTCAACATGTAATCATCACTATTATACGTGTAATCATCGTTATAATCAGTGCGCAGACTGTAATCGTCACTATTATACGTGTAATCATCGTTATTATCAATGTGCAGACTGTAATCATCACTAT